CGAGGGGCCCGAAACCCTGTAAAGGGATATGTTGGCTACAAAGAGCTATGTTGGCCCTATGTTGAGCCATCTTGGAGGCTATGTTGGCCATATGTTGGGAATATGTTGGCTATCTAGGGCCTATGTTGGGGATATGTTAGGAATTATGTTGAAAAAATCTTCCGATACAACTTTTGACGATTTGTTCCTTCCCGCAAACCAAAAACACTGAAAAAACCGATGTGTTTTTTTTGACGTCGCCAAGCTGAAATTCTCGGCTGCCGAGGGGCCCGAAACCCTGTAAAGGGATATGTTGGGCACAAAGAGCACATCTGGGGCCCATATTGATCCTATGTTGAGCACGTTAGCCCTATGTTGGCCTCGGTTGGGCCTATGTTGGGCCTATGTTGGCGTCTGTTGGCCCCTAGTTGGCCTATGTTGGCCCTATGTTGAGCCATCTTGGAGGCTATGTTGGGCATATGTTGGGGATATGTTGGCTATCTTGGGCCTATGTTGGGCCTATGTTGGCGTCTGTTGGCCCCAAGTTGGCCTATGTTGGCCCTATGTTGAGCCATCTTGGAGGCTATGTGGGGCATATGTTGGGGATCTGTTGGCTATCTTGGGCCTATGTTGGGGATATGTTAGGCGATTTATGTTGAAAAAATATTCCGATACAACTTTTTGCGATTTTTTCCTTCCCGCAAAGCAAAAACCATGAAAAAACCTAGGTTTTTTGACATCGCCCAGATGAAATTCTCGGCCGCCGAGGGCCCCCAAACCCTGTAAACCACAGTGTTTTTTATACCTCACACACACGAAACCCTGTAAATTACGTTGATATCAGTGACCCGGTGGTCCCCCTGTTTTGGTGACGAGGGTCGGCGGTTGGGGGGGCGAGCGTCTATAACCTTCGGTTACCACCGAAGGCCCTCCGGGCAGGGCACGGGCTTCGTGGCCGGCGCCCGGATTTAAGGGCTTACGCCCGACAGCCGGCCAGGGGCCCAAGCAAAGGGCTTGTTGCAGTCGTGGTAGTGTGCTTGTCCTTGTAGTTGTCGTTGTTGCTCGTGTTGCTGTTGTGGTTGGTGTTGTTTCCGCGGTGGTTGTTGTTGTAGTTGTCGTTGGTGGTAGTGGTGGCTCGTTGTTGTTGTTGTTGTTGTTGTTGTTGTTGTTGTTGTTGTTGTTGTTGTTGCTTTCTTGGCCCAGCTTGGGTCGATGCTGGCGTGTCTTGGGGGCTATCTGGGCATCTTGGGAGCTACGCTAGCCCATCTTGTCGCTATGCTGGGGCTATGTTGGCCCATCTTGGGGGCTATGTAGGCCCATCTTGGCGCTATCTTGGCCCATCTTGGGGCCATGTTGGCCCATCTTGGGGGCTATGTTGGCCCATGTTGTGGCTATGTGGCCCATGTTAGCCCAGCATCCGCCACTCTTGGGCTATCTTTGGGCTCTGTGGGGCCATCTCGAGGCTATGTTTGGCCTATCGGGGCCCTCTGCTGCCCCACCTTGTTGGCCCAGCTTAGACATATGTCGTCCGATCTTGCCTCTGTGTTGGCCCAAACAAAAAGGAAACGCAAAAAACTGGGCCATCTGGAAACCAAATCCCCAAGGTCCACGCAAACCCCATGCCATGGAGGGGAAACATGCTAGGTTGGCCCATTTTGGGTGCGGGCTAGGTTGGCCCATCTTGGAGGCTATGTTGGCCCATCTTGGGGCTATGTTGACCCATCGTGGGGTTATCTTGACCCAGCTTGGGGGCTATGTTGGCCCATCTTGACCCTATGTTGGCCCATCTTGGGCCATGTTGGCCCAACTTGGGCACTTTTTTCGGCTCATGTTGCGCCATGTTGACCCATCTTGAGCCACAAAGCCGGAAAAATGCAAGAAGCAGAAAACACTGTAAAACGCGGGACTGCGCATGGGTCGAGCAGGGGTCGGCGGCAGGGGCGGGACTCCACTCTCTCCTTCGGAGAGGAGAGATGCCTACGG